AAATTAATTAATCATTTACAAAGAATCAATGAAATAAAAAAATACCGTTACTAATGATTGATTTACACATATTTATTGTTGTTAAACTTTGCCAACGAAGAAAATTTCTTATAATTGAGTAACAAAATGAATTAAAGAAGCTAAATGTGATTAAAAAATAATTAATGATTTGCTCCTAAAAACACAACCGACAATCCCAATAATGCAGTTGTCACCGTTGCACTCAGAACGTGTTACGTCGCTGCAATTTTTGCTGACAAATTTGAATAAAATATTTTATATGTTTTGTTTGATTCTCCAAAAAATATTTTTTTACATCCCAATAAATGAATATTTATTGGCTGTTCTTTTTCAAGAAATAGTTTATTCCCTTGCAGTCGAATAAACTTAGGGTTCGTTTGATAAGCTTTTATTTTTACTTTTGTATCTTGTAGAAGAGATTTCTAAAACTTTTTGCCTTGGTTAATTTACTTTAAAAACTCTTCTAATCAGACAAAGTATTTTTAAAAATTACCTAAACATGTTCAGAAACAGTTTTTGACTTTTCAATAACCTTGCAAAATGGATCCTTAAACTTCTACGGTCCAAACGAACCATTAATCAATCGATTTAAATAAAATTTCATATCTTGCCCTCTTGAAGGGAATTAGATAAAGCTGTTAACATAGGTGAACTAACTTGGTTCTGTCGAGCAAAAGATGGTGAGGCTCAGATGAGTAATATTGAATGAGCCACAAATTAGGAGGATACGAGCCTAGGTTGTTGACATTATGATCCAATGTTGCCCATCGTCTAGTCTTTTTATGGACAGGTACAGTTGCCTTCAACTGTCTCAGTTGTTTTGATACAAGTTCGACTATTTATAAACCATTTTCTGTTTTCTATTTTTAGGTATCATTGTTGTATATACTCTTTCTTTTGTCAATATCACGGTTCTAGAATTGGATGAACTAATCAATTCAAAATCACGCTAATTAATTCAATCTCACTCAATAACAACAAAGAACAAGAAGTTAATATTTTTGACACCCCTTAGAGTTTATATTTTCGATTATCATTCCTGTGTTTCGCAACTTTTTTTTTTTTTTTTTTTTAATATCTTGGATCTCGAATTGGATGCACTAATCAATTCAAAATTAGACCAATCGATTCAATATCACTCAACAACAATAAGAGTATTATATATTAAGTACTTTTTCTTAATAAATTTGAGATCCACATATATTTTTTTATGTTAGTCTAATTCAAAAAAATGAAAAACTAAATTAGTTTTACAAAAATAACGAATAAATTCCAATTTTATTGGTGACCATTAAAACTTTTAAGTGTTAAAAGCTAAATGAGTTTATTTTGAACAATTCAACTATGTGAAGGGACCGTGCATCCGACACGTGTCTCTTTGTTTGACTTGGTGACTTGTAATGATTTACCCTAACAAATCATTATTAAGAAGTTAAATATGCCTAACTACCGACCAACTTCAAAGGTAACAATAATAATGGAGGGTTTCTCGAAGATGCCCGTCCAATTCTATTTATTCAAAAACTCAATCAATTTATATCTAGATTGCTCTTACAACTTCAAAGGTAACAATAGTAGTGATGGCTCGAGCAACTTAAGAATTTTAGGTAAGAAGTAACGCTATCAAGTAATTTGTATCTAAATTGCTCTTACATGAATCTTATTTTAAATGTTTAGAATTTAGAGAATTCGAAAATTAATTTAATTAATCGTGCAGTGGATATATTCATATATGTTGAAACTTTATGTTCCTAATATGTTCGACAACGCAAAACCTAATTGTTATGTACAACTACATAAGAAATGCTTTAAAATCATCCACGGTCATTTTATTCCAAATCAAACTAATTATGTAGGTATATTTGAATCATGCTACAAGTACAGAAAAAATTGTCAGAAAACACATGGCAGGAATTGATTGAAAGGTGGAAAGAGAATAAAGAAATCAATCCAATCATCTGCGACCACGTCAGTGTGGGTAGAAATTCTGTCAAGAATTTCCTGTACTCATAACTTATTTCAATATATTTTATCTTCCTTCGAAATTCATGATGTTCATCATGATGAGCAATAACATGTATATTACGTTGATTTCAAGATCGTTCACAATTCAATTACTGCACTAAAACCTGAATTCATCCTTAAAAACATTCAAAATTAAATTAAAGCTTCAAAATATAAGTTACTTTGTTGTTGTCCTAAAGTTCTTTACGGTCATTAAAGAATATCCCTTGGTAAATATCATTATACTTCCTGTCTCATATAGATAGGTTTACTTTCATTTTCACACAGATTAATAAAATAAAATTAGTATAGTTGAAAAGTATAAAATTTCTTTACATTTTTTTCTAATATATTCCTATATTAAATAATAATTTAAATAGAAGTAGTTCATATTTGTTGATAACAATACACATTAAATAAGAACGTATTAGAAAATTAAAAAATCAACTATATTCAATAAGGAAATTGACTTATAATTTAGTTTAAACGAAAAAGGAAAACAAGCATATGTTTATTAGACAAGTACTATTTCTTTTCCAACTTGGAAGCGTAAAAATTTAATTCTTTTTTTTTTTTTGTGGGCTTAATTCTACTTCTATTCTTCAATAACAATTAACAACACGAAAAATAAACAAAATTCACCTTTCTAAATTCAAAAACTTAGTATACCATAAAAATTATATGAACAATTATTCGAATTTAATAGGCTTTGTAATTTTGTTGTGACATTGGGAAGGTTCCTTGACCTTAGCAATGTCCTAAATAAACATCCCATCCCAACAAGAATATTAAAATTAGGGCCATCAAAAGATACACAATATCCCCATCCCTCATTATCAAATCCTCAGCTTTTATCTTTATAAACATTGGATGAGCTGGTTTCTCAAGTCAACCATGGATGCATCGCTTAGCTGTAGTTTTTTGTTTTCAATCAAGTCCCAAACATAATTTTTTGCCTTAA